TCCACCCTCCACCCTCCATCCTCCACCTTCCATCCTCCACCCTCCACCCTCCATCCTCCTGGCATGAAAATGGGAGGAGAGGTCAGGAGCCTGGCTCCAGCAGAAACGTGTGAAATATGGCTTCCTGCCAGGCCACAGGATGGAGGCCAAGGGTGTACTTGGGAGGTGAGGCCCCCGTTTCATTAGCCATGAGGTCTGCCGGCTGAGCCCCTTTCCTTCTTGCCTTCTTGCTCCAGGCCCCTTTGAAGTCTGAGGGCCTCCGTGGTCACTGGCCAGACAGCATTTGTAAGCAACTCTTTCCCAGTGCAGTCAATAATTGAGGAGGCAGTGCCTAGAGCCAACTCATCATTCCAAACCTGCTGCCACCTGAACACCAAGCGAGTGGACAGGAAAGGAAAAATCACCAGGCCTGCTTGAGAAATGGGCCTTGTTTCAAATGCTCGCAGGGCCCCTGGTGCTGAGCTGGGAGAGACCAGGCTGGCCTGGCAGTGAGGGAAGGATGGAGGTGGTGGACTTGCATGTGGAATGCTGGTTAACTTTTGGGTCCTGAGCCACATTTGGTTTGGGACAGTGGACTGTCATCCCTGGAGCATTGACATTGGAAGATTGGCCTCTCTTCCTCGGATTTGGCTGTCTCCCATTCCCTACTCCCTTATTCATTCAGTGATCATGGATGCTGTGGACCCAGAGACGGGAGTGGAGAGCAGAGAGGCATGGGGGCAGCCTCCCCTCAGCGGGGCAGACACACACTCATCACCTTCACGCACAGGCAGCGAGAGGCACTGCATTTAGAGGCCTGGGGCCAGCAAAAGCTGACCAGGGCTTCTGTGCATGGGTGGGGCCTGCAGGGATAGCAGAGCCTGTCAGTGTCCAGAGCAAAGAGGGAAGACAGATAGGTTAATGGTTAAGTTTGTGGACTCTGGGGCCAGTCCTGCGACTTACACAGAGCTAGCCTCTCTGTACCTTATTTGTGAATGGAGTTAACTACAGTAGACTGATCCAAACTACTCTTATATATGGCTGAAATTAAGACCAAAACTGGCAAGATACAGAAACCCAACAGCTGCCTTTAGAAAATGAGTGATAGTTTTTTTTTTTTTTTTTTTTTGGTGGTACTGGGGTTTGAACTCAGGGTCTCACACTTGCTAGGCAGGTGCTCTACCACTTGACTCATGCCTAGCCCTTTTGCTTTTAGTCTGTCAGATAGGATCTCTCACTTTTGTCCTGATCAGCCTCAGACCTTGAGCCTCCTACCTCCACCTCCTGGTTAGTTGGGATTAATTACAGGTGTGCATCACCACGCCCAGACCTGACTGACAATTATCTTAAGGTTAAACTCATTCCCCACACCACCCCAAACCCCACTTCTAAGCCATGATGCAGTTTAACTGAACAACTTAGGTTGACAGAAAAACCTGTAGGTGAACGTTTACAGATTGTTATAATCTCCCCAAACTGGAAATAACTCAAATGCCATTCAACCAGAAACTGATATACCATGCAAGGCTGCTTAGCAAGGAGCTTCATCAACACTGACGAGTTACAAACAAGTTAGACTAAGTGCCAGAAGCCAGGCTCCAGGCACCGCGTAGCATGTGGGGACATCTGTGGTCCTGTGTCTTATATCCTGGAGAACTGTAGGGACAGACAGACAGAACATGGTGTGGTTGCATGCATGGGCAGGAGGGACTTGGAAGGTGACAGATGCTCATGCTGCAGGACCGTACACACGGGTCAATGCTCACAGAACCGTGTGCTAACAAGGTTGGATTTACCACGTGTAATTTATGCCAGGCACAGTAAGCAGCACCTGCAAAGCCATCGAGGCTTGAATAAGGACGCATGTGTAACACAGGGGTGAGTGGTTCTTGAGGGTTGAGGAGGGAGGGGCAGGAGGTGATGTCATGTCATACGCTTTGGGTCAGGATGATCTTACTCAGTTGAGGAATTTAAGTTTTTATTTCAGAAACATTCCTGGGTTTTATTTAGAAGCAGAAATCAGTGGATTTATGGGCCTAATCCTGCCTTCAAAAAAGCTTTCATTTGCCTTAGTTTTTTTTTTTTTTTAAAGATTTTGAATTTGTGACCAATATTTATAAACAAGATCGTATGTAGAATTCTGGCTTCCTGGCTCCTCTTTAGATGAGACACAAGCTTTCCAGTTTTCCAAAGCCCCTCCCCACACCCATACCTCACCTTCCTGGTCCTATAGGTATATGAACATGTATTCCGGGAAGGAAGAAGTCAAGGGCCGTGCCTTTCCCAGCCCTGGCCTGAATCCTCACTGGTCTATGTCCCATAGCACTATGTCCCATAGCAGTGGGGGCAAAGGCCCATGTATTGAAGGCTTGGTCACCAGCCTGAGGTGTTATGGGGAAGTGGTGGAACCTTTAGGAGGTGGGGCCTAGAGGGAGGAAGGCAGGTCATTGGGGCATGGCCTCCAGGGGGTATTGGCTCCTTCTTTCCTCTCTCTGCTTCCTGGCCCCGAGGTGAGCAGCTTCCTTTGTGAGGTAGGCACTTCTGCCATGATCTGCTGCCTCACCCCAGCCCCAAAGACCATGGAGGCCAACCAACCATGGACTGAAACCTCCAGAACTATGAGCCACAATACACTTTTCCTCTTAAAAGGTACTTATCTCAGGTAGCTTGTCCCAGTAACACAAAGCTAATTTACCTGGGGACCTTTAAAAAATATTGATGCCAGTCCAAGTTGCTGGTGGCCAGGCATCTGTATTTTAAGTGTCTTCTCAGTGATTCTAATGAGTAACCAGAGGTGGGACCTGCTGGTGTCGGGGAAGACGAAGGTGTGGGGCAGGGCTCCACAATGGACAGGAGAGGTGTTTAGGGACTGGTGGGATGCACGTGAGCACTCTGCCTAGGGCTGAACCTCTGTGGCCCCTCGGCCCATGTATTAAAAATGGATTTCCCTAACAAGATACTACTAGGGGATGGGGCCATTGTGAGGTGATGGGGTCACTGGGGGTGGAGGCCTCATGAATGGGGTTAGTGTCCTCACAAAGAGGCCCCAGAGAGCCCCCTTCTCCCGCAGTTGAAGCTACAGTGCAAAGACATCAACCAGGCCCTGATCAGATACTTGCCGAATCTGCCAGAACCTTGACCTTGGACTTTCCATCTTTAGAGCTTCAAAAAATAACCTTCAGTTGCTTGTAACCCACCCAGCTCATGGCATTTTGTTCAGCAGCCCCAAGAATCTGGGACTCTTGGATAGGGGTGGGAGGTCCTTCTCTTGTCTGCCCTGGGCTATGGGTGCTCAGGCCCTGCTGAGGAAAGGGTGGAGAATTTTCGCCAAAGGGGCCCACATTCAAAAGGGGCCCACACTCAAAAGACTCACCAAGTCTGACATGTGGTGCCTTTAAGTCTAGCAAAGCCCTCTGCTGAAACGTCTTGCCTCCCAGCAGGTGCTACAGCTCTATCTTTTATGGGGCTGGGGGTGGGGGCAGGGGCTCAAGAACCTTCTCTGCATATGAGCAGTGACGTTTTTATATGTATGTAAGGCATGGTGCCCACTCTGCAGACAGGCAAGGAAAGGGAAGGAAGCATTTTGTACCCATCATTTCTAGTGCCCTTTTAGCATAATCCACATTCCCATCTTGTGAGGAAGGGGCTTATTGTAATAGGAATTATTTTTCAGGGCTCTGAACATGCGTTTAAACCAGGTGACTGACTTAGATGTGCTCTCTCCATAGTGAGTTTGGGGTCCACACTCACAGTAGCTTCGCACCAGGAAAACAGTCATGCACCTGTGCCCTCTCCAGACACCATTTATTGTCTTTGGTGCCCCCTCAGCTTTTCCTTCTGGTGCTCAGTGGATGTCTGTGTGACTGTCTCGACCTCTTCTCCTTGTGGACACATTAGTTCCCCAGGCCTGCAAGGTCAGCTCAGAAAGGGACTCCATTGTCCTGAGAAGAGGAGTGGTAGCCCTCCCACCCACTTAGGCGACATCTGCTCCATGGCCCAGAGTGCCACCTCAGCCATTCCTGGCTGGGCAGTTCTCGGTCACCATGAAGCATTTTTCATGGCATTAACCTGTATTGCTCCCACTGTTTGTTTGGACCAAGAGCAGCCCTTGGCCTCTTATTTTGTCTCTGCCCTTTGGAGGTCCAGACAGAGACACAATGGGGCATCCAGGAGCCCTTGCTCCTGGAGAATTCTGGGCTGAAGCTACCCAGAAAGTGCTTAACATGGAAGCACAAAGCTCCCGTGGGTGATTGGGGGGGGTCCCTTTACACTGGCACTCATGGCCACTCCTGGTAGTCCTTCTCCTGCAGTGGTCCCTGTGGACTGTGCTCATGGGGATGCTGGAAGTCATGATGGGGGGATCTCTGTGCATCATGCCCCACTATTGGTGCTGCGAGCCAGACTTGCTGTGGACAGCGTGTGTTACAGAGCTTGGTAGGGACTGAGTTCCCTATGGACTTGGCTGTCCACACTGGGGCTCACTCTGGACGGTTCTGCCCATGGACGAATCTCCACGCTTGACCCTTTCTTCTTTTGAGTTCATCATGGTTGGTGTTGGTTGTGGATGGCGCTCATCATTTAGGATGGGTTCATCACGGGAGATTCTAATTCCTGATGTTTCTTAATACATTTGGTTCTAGTGATGAGCTTTGGAACCACTGGTCCCACCAACACGCTGCTCAGCACTGATGGTTTTGATGACTCGTCCCCAAGGCTCACAGTACATGTGATTCCTGCTGGCAGTTTTGACACACGTGGTCCCAGCATTGACGGACCTTGACACAGCTCTTCTTACCAACGGTAGTTCTCAGTATAGATGGACTGCTGCTTCTTGGTATCAGTGGTGCTCAATGCTCTAGATGGTGACATCCATAGATGGGGGTTGACACACTGCACTCTTTTTAAAGGCCTTTGCTACTTGGGTTGGTAATGAGTGATTTGGGTAAATGTGGGTTTGCTGGCCCCTGGTGTCTAGATGTTAGAGGGGACCTAGGGTGAGGGGACTTCTCATAGAGCATGTGTTACTGGGCAGGCTGCTGGTCCTGAGCCATCTGATTGCCAGTCTTCACAGCTCCCTCGGGCTTGTCCCCCTGGAGGTTGGTGTCACTATTTGGCACGCCTTGCCCATTGCCGTCCACTCTGATGCTCTGGTTGCTGCTGGCCTGGCTGAGGCCCCGGCTGTCTGTGGAAGTGAGCAACCCACTGCTCACCTGGTAGGTCAGAAAGCTGCTGCCTGGGCTGAGGAAGCTGATGCTGCCGAGGCTGCTGGAATTGCTGCCTGGCAGGCTGGCCTCACTTTTGCCCTCCAGTCTGCTGGGTGCCGTGGTGCTGGCTGTCCAGCCGACGGTTCTTTAACTGGCTGGGAAAGTATGCGGCACACAGCTGGCTGCTCTGGGCGCTGTCCACCTGGGGATCAGGTCTCTTACTCAAGCGTAAGATTCGTCCCTTGTCTACCAAGCTGGTGTCGCTTCTTTCCTCATCTCCCACGTAGCCGCTGCTCAGCAGGCTGGTCTTACTTTGTTCCTCTGGCTTGGGGTGCTGGGGGCTCTGCACCAGGCTGCTGCTGCTCCGGGGTGGTCCTAGAGTACTGCAGGAAGCTTTTAGGGGCTCCCGAGTGGCTGCCGTATGGCGCGGCCGCGTGCGGGGCTGGAGCTCTAAGTTGAGTGACAATAGATTTGGTACCTGCTCCTGCACATCCCAGGCAGAAGAGCCCCCTTTTCCTGCCTCAAGGCCAGTGGGGGGCAGAGGAAGTTGTTTATCCAGGAGGGGGACCTGGGAGGCCTCTGAATGTTGGTTGTGGCCTGTCTGGGGAGAGGTGACTTAAGTTATCTGGCTGCCCTTTTAAAACAGAGTGTTCTGATTGGCTGGCTTGGTCTCCATGGTGATGAGGCCTGTGATGTCAGGGCAGGCAGGAGGGGGAACAATGCCTTTCTGACACCAGTTAGTTACATCAGTGGCCTGGAGGGAGGGGGCTGGGCAGAAAAGGGGCTTGTGGCCAGAGGGGGCATGGTGGTCAGCTAGTCGTGGTGTGACCAAATAGCTGAGAAAAATGACTTAAGGAAGGAAGGATTTATTTTGGCTAGGCTCATGGTTTCAGAGGTTTCAGTCCATCATAGTGGGAGGGAGTGACAGAGCAGAGCAGCTCACATCATGGCACCCAGGAAGGGGAGAGGGAGGGAGAGAGGAAGAGAGGGAGAGAGAGAGAGAGAGGGAGAATGTCACACTCTGAGTTCTTTTTCTTTCCCCTTTTATTCCACCTGGACCCCTTTTGGGCTGGCACCACCCACATTCAGGACCACCCCCCCCATTAATGGTCTCTGGAAACATCGTTATAGTGGTGCTTCACTACACTCAATCCAATCATCGTGACAAGACTCACCTTCACAGGGTGAGATCCTTCCTGGGAGACATCCCAAGGAGCCTATGGCCCATTTTGCCAGCCTCTGTCTCCTTGCTGAGGTGGTTTTGAGAACTGGGTAGAATCCCAGTCAGGAATTTAACCCAAATTCTGTACCAGATGTCCAAGGCCCTGCCTGGGCAGCCTCCATCAGCCCATCCCAAGCCATATCCTACTCCTTCCCACCTTGCACACGCAGTCACGCTGACCAGGTCTCTTCTTTCTAAGCTCTTACCTGCTGCAGGGGCTTTGCACTGGCTTTCTCACCACCTGGAGCAGTCTTCCCTTGGGTCCTCATCCTTCTGGCTTCAGCCAAGTGACCCTTTCATAGGGAGTCTTTCTTGACTTCCCAAGAAGAGCTTTCTAGTATTTTTTACGCCACTTCCTAACTTACACTCCTTAGGACGACAGTGAATCATCCTGGCTGCTGTTTATGGTCAGTCTTTCCTGTCACAGTGCAAACTTGGTTAGGTCAGAGATTTTGACAATGCTGTGCCTCAGTGCCCAGCACCCTACCTGTCATGTGGGGATGCTCACTGGACATTGAATGACTGAATGAACAAATGAACTACCTGGTGTTCCAACCAGCCAGGGAACTTCAAAAACACATTGGGATTTTCTCATCCTTGACAACCTTTCAGAACCACCTGGGTCCCACCCCCAGAGATCCTGAGTTCATTGGTCTGGGAAGGGGCTTTGGCAGCAGAATTTTCAGAAGCTCTCCAGATAATTCCAAGGTGTACCCAGCAAAAGAATTGTGCTAGGAGCTGCTGCTTGGCCACTGGGATGCTTTCCTAGGTGACTGTGATGGGCAACTCTAGTGAAGCAGGAAGACTTGCCATAAAGGGACACTGGGCATGCTGGTTATCAGTACAGACTCAATAGATGTTTATTGATGTTTATTGAATTAAGAAGTTCATTGCCTGTAATTCCAGCTACTCAGGAGATGGAGAGCAAGAGGATCGTGGTGGAGGTCAGTGCAGGCGACATCACTCCAAGCGTGATGGAATGTGCCTGTCATCCCAGTTAGTGGAGGTTGTAGGTAAGGGGATTGCTGTCTGAGGCCAGCCCCAGATAAAATGTAAGACTACCTGAAAAATAACTAAAGCAAAAAAGGTCAGGAGGTCTGGCTTAAGTGGTAGAGCACCTGTGCCCATAGCAATTGGGAGACCTGAAGTTCAAACCTTAGTACTGCCAAAAAAAAAAAAAAAAAAGAAATCATTGAGTGAATTAAAATACTTATTGACCCCAGAGCTTGTGGGTTGGTTTTAAAGACTTTGAGAACATATCAAGTCTGTATGCAAAATTTGCAAAGAGCTTCTTTCACCCAAGGAGGAAAACATAGTTGCATTACGTCATCAAGGGTGTTTATGACTCAAAGATCAAGAATCTGAATCTAATCCCCTCTTTGGCCTGGTTTTGCCCTTTGTAAACATTGTCCTTTTCAAAAGTTCAAATATATTCACATTCTCTTGAAACTTTGAAGCTTTAAAAATTTAGACTCTTACCATCTCATGTTCTTCATATATTACCTCCAAAAGCAGTCTATAAGTCAAATACCTGTTCGGGGGCATTTTCTGTCTCAGCCACTGGAAGCTGTGGCATGAGGAATCACTGCTTTTCTCAAGTACATCAGCTGTGATGTCTTTTGATTATTCCTTTCTTCTATCCATGCCTGCTCCTGCTGCTTTGGCCCCTTTTATAGATCAGACTACTCTTAGAATTGGTGGATTTGGGTGGTGAATGAGTGGATAAATAGGAACAGTTGAATCCAAAGCTTTTCCTACAAGCTTGATGGGGGGAGGAGTTGAGTTTTCAGTTTCCTTCTCCATTGAACTATACCAATGCTTGGATTTATAATGTGGCCTGGACTAGTGTGTGGGTTTTTTGCTTTCTGGGGTTGGTTTTTCTTAGCTTCCCTAAATGATAATGGAAAGAAGTGTTTAACAAGGTCCTGGTTTCTCTTGTGACACGGTAGCTTAATTTGTTTTGCTTTGATGTGCATCTTTATAGGGGGTCAGCTTGGTAGATGGTATCCTTCCCCATTGTGGGCAGAATTGGTACCTGCACACAAATGACACCTTGGTCTCTTGTTTGCAAGGCCTGTTAGGTCCTGTCCAGCCCTGCAGGGTGTTGGTACACGTGTGCTGTAGCAGTGGGCATAGTAAACCACTTGTCCAGTGGACAAAAAACCTTAATTGGCAGGATTGGCTAGTAACTAGGAAGTGGGATTTTAGAGAGCCAAGGTTGAAAGGATTTTTTAAGAAAAAAAAATAAAACCATTGGTTGTAGACAATGAAAAGGTAGTTTGCCCTCTTCATGTCTATTCTCCTTCCAAATAGTTTCATCCAAAAAAAAAAGCTGTTTTGTCCCACTCTCCTACCTTGTTCCCCTGTTAAAATAGAAACAGGGGTTGATTTATGTCCTGCTCCTGAATACGTGTAAAATTTGTACAAAAGTATCTTCTATGAAAATGATTTGTAATCTGTAGACTTACTACCTGGGAGGTGTCTTGAGATGTAAAATCCCATCCTTTGGGTTGTGGGTTTTTGTTTTCTCCAAATAAATCCAATCTTTCAAGTTCAAAAAAAAAAAAGAATCTGAATCTAACTCAGCTGGGGGCGTGGCTCCATTGGTAAAGCACTTGCCTGCCAAGCACAGGGTCCTGAGTTCAAATCCCAATCCCCCTGATCCAAGGGTAACATAGATTCAATGCAATCCTTGCACTAGCATGTGGGGGTTGGAGGCCCTGATGCCAAGCCTGATCCTGATAGATCTGAAGGCTCTGGCTTGCTCTGCTGGAGGGGGAGTGGGGGAGGAAGGTACTCGTTGGAGAGAAAGCCATTCGGTCCCTTGACAGTCATCAGCACTGTCATTGCTAATTATTAGGGTCAAGCAATTACGAATGCCTTCCTAATTGGCTGGGGCCATTCAGCCTCCCCCTTCCACAAGCAGAGGAATCTCATTTGTCCAGAATCCTGATCCCTCTGGGGTGGAGAGGGCTGTCTCATGGCCGCCTGACTTCCTGCCCCCAAAGCACTATGTTCCTACTAGGGACTGGCAGGGAAGAGACACACGTGGCTTAGTGGTGATACTCAGAGTCAGGGACATGGTGGGAAGCAAGGACAAGGTTTAGCCTTTTAGAGGACTGGCATTAGAGAGGAAAGGAGTTGGACACTGGGCAGGCACCTGGGGCCTGGGACCAGCTCTGTCCCTATACAAGTACACAGTAGTACCAGTGCTGGGGATTAATGGCAAGGGGTGCAAATTCCCTCCCCTAACCCACCCTCCTGCCCCAGGCCTGAGGACTACAGTGAGCACCTGGGGCTGGCCCAGAGCAAGTGGCAGAGACCATGCAGTAATCTACAGCATGTGGAATCCCAGGTGGACAGCCTGGGATTACAAGAGAGGCCACACGAGTAGCCAGGGCTGAGCAGAGCACCTCGGCCTCAATTCTTGTAGTTATTTGGGGAGTCTTGAAGAAGGCGTCATCTGTCAGTTCTGGTTCCAGCTCTCCCATTCCTGAGGAGTCGCCTACAATGGTGTCCTAACCTTGTCCCCACCCTAGCTGTCTATGTTAAGCTTAAGGCCACAGATACCCTGCCCAGGGATCCTTTCCCGAGGACTCAAACAGCAGCACCTTCAGGACCCTCTGTGGCTGGAGCCACAGAGCCATCTGGGAGAAGATGGTGGCAGGAGTTTCTTTACCAGGTTGGCATCTCATTTGGGGGACCACATACTGGGCTGCCTTTCCTATCTCTATTCTTTATTGCTGTTTGTCCCCCAGAACCGTGGTCTCACCCACACACACATTCTGGCTCTTTCTCCAGCTTCCCTGTCCCTTCTGTACATCAGCTTTTGACACAGATGGCTGGCACCTACAAGATGGGCACACACAGCCTGAGTCCCAGTCAAGGCTCAGACCGGAAACCTGGTTATATTGTCTGAGAGTCTGGACATGACTCTGGAGTCATGCCGTAGGTCCTTGGACCTTCTCATTTCTTTCCTGGCTCATAGGAAAATATCTTCCCACCTTTCTTGCATCCAGGTGGAATCAATAAAATGCAGGAAAGTGGGTGTTTGCTACTCTAGAGGCATGGGCTATAAACGTCCCCCATTCTTCTCTTTCTGCCAGGACCTTGGGCGCCATGCACTGGGGGCATCAGAGACTCCAGGGAGCAGAGCCTGGGTCCCTGAATAACTCTGTGGACAGCCCTCACCCTCTACCATTTGTGATGCCAGTGAGCGATAAACTGTCCTTGGAGCCATTCAGATTGGGGGTCATTTGTTACAAACAGAGTGACTTTCTTTCTACAGTGAATACTCTGTGTGACAAGATGTGGCCAGCGTGCTCTGCTGGATTTGCCTTTGCCTCAATGATCCTTGTGATGGGTTCCAGACTGT